ATGCATATTGGTTCCAGAACCTCAGCCTACCAGTTAAGAAACTTCTTGTAATTCCTAGTCTATAGGCAGGCATGGGCAGTTTGTACTATTTATCATACGATCATCGTATCATATCGGCTACGATACTACTTCAGCTTAGTTTGTTCTTCTGTCCTTTTGCTATTCACCCTGTCATGTATTTCACATTACTTTCTCTTCCCTTTATCACCACACCAGGTTTTGTCTTCTCTTGCTTCAGTTTCCATTTATCTTTCTTGAGCATAGGTGACCACATTCAAATCAACTAACTATGGATTAGTTTATATGCCTAAATTATATGGACCTAAGTTACATAGGCAAAGTAGGAGACTTGTCTTCTCAGACAATGAATATAATCAGCAGAGAAAGCAAGCGCTTCCAAAAGCTGAGAACTGCACCATCTACCCTCTTGTCCTGCATTGCCACTCTCTATTGTCAACATAAGGAAGGTTTAAAAGAATAGGCCTCCTCATCCAGGAACCAAAGCTTTGTGCTAAGCATGCCAGAGGAGCGCACCATAGCACTCTATATGACAGGAATAATGCTTCCCTGTTTTGTCAAGAAATAGCTCAGCTGATACCTTGCAGGAACCCTCTTTTTTTTTTTTTAATTGCTTTTTTTTTCCTAGCAACTTCCATACGTAATGATCTCAAGTGACTGTTGTGTAATTTTGACATTACTTATTGTGAATAAACATTGGACTGGCGTATAACTTCTTTATACATGAAAGAGATGGACTTGCAGTCACATGTAAGAACTAAAAAATTGGACTGCCTGATAGGCAATTCGCAAAACATTCTCTCTTATCTAGTGCAAGCCAGGCACTTATAAAAGGGCTTCAGTAAGAGCTCTCCATACCGGAATCGTACACTGACTCCCGGGACTGAAATGTAGCCAATGTAGAGAACATGCTGGTGACTGAAATGTCCTGCTGTACCCAACTCATTGGACTACAGACAGTTTCTGGGACATTCAAAAGAAAAGAAAGGAACAGGCACCTTTTCTCTAAAGTAGCAATTTTGCTAGCTTAAAACTTGTCCAAATCAAGATGGATTTTCTCAAGCACTAGAAAAAGCACCTTTCCCATTTGGGAACTATCCCTCTGATCAAAGATTACACCGTGTGGATTGCTACCAGCCAACATAATTTTGCGAATCATAAAGCTACACCATAAGAATGCAGCAGCTGCCATTGGGCGAGCTTCAGGTAACTATAACCAACTCCTTTACAGCTTCCTTCTCAGATAGCTCAAAGACTTGCCATAACAAAAGGGAAAACTTAACTGATATCTTCTTTTTTAGACATGACATGAAATTTTCTAGACATAAATGCAATGCATGAAATTCTGCTCTCGGTTCAGTGGTACATACTGACCTCTCAGTTCAGTGGTGATTACATTGATGCAAGAGAGTTATCTTAAATTTACATTCAAGTTACTGAAAGCAAGATCTAATCCAGAAACTTCATCAGCTGTTTCTATTTGTCTGGCAGCAAATAGTCTGATGCTATACTGACCAAGATCACTGGAACAAACATCTTTTATTAACACATGTTTAGCAGGTTTCAAAATATTCATAGGATATGTACATTATTGTTGTCTTGTATGGGCAGGTTAGACTTTAAAAAGTGCATGGAATCAGTTACTAGTGGACACGCTCATGTAAATGAAGTATTTGAAAATTATTTACAGCATTTTTTCTTGCATTAAAAAATATCCCAAACCTACTAATCTGTATATTAAGACATTTTATTATCAGATACAACAGATTTCTATGGCAGCATTTGCTAATTTTTCCTTAATCATTCCTAATATCCTCCTAGTTTACTAAATATTTATCATAAATAAAATATGCAGATATATTGTGAAATCATCAGCTTGTATTAGTAGAACTCTATTGACCTTAAAAGTGGATGTGTTGATTTACATCTATTGCTATCAGGTGTATGTGCACATAAACACACACACATGCATATATTTTATTCCTACAGATATTTTATGACTTGGTGAAAGAAAAAAGACATATATGCACTACATAAAATTCAATAAGAACATGTGTACACACATATATTTCAACAGAGTAAGAGATAGGGGAAATTTCTACTGTCAAACTGTACTTTAAAAAGTCAAAGTCTATTGGTTAGCAGGGCCAGGAATTAAGTGTACTTCTGCAACAAGCTGTCAGTATAGGCAGTTTTATAAGAAACATATTGAAACCTTGACAGAAATACTGCTTATACCCAACGACAATCATTCAGTCTTAAGCAACTGAGTTGAATATCCTTTCACAGATGGCAGCCCTCCACAATGACACCAAAACCAGAGTCCTTTGTCACCACTGAAAGTTGAGGGTTTTTTTGTAAATTGCAAGCGTTGTTGGATACTGGGGACACATCAGCATGTATTCTTTAGCAGTATTAATGCAAATGGAAGAGGACATTTTAAAGAAAATAATTTTCCCCTTGGAGACATGAAGTTTATAACTGAACTACAGAAGTTTGTTTTAAGCTAAGGAACAAGATGCGGCATCATAGCTAAAGAGGCAACTTGTGTGTTAAACTCAAAATATTTTAATTGCGTAAACACTGGCAGAGGCATTATATCTTTCTTTTCTTGTTCTTAAGTTTCCTTTGGCAACATCTACCTTCCATACTAACTTAAGGCATTTTTGCAGCCAGGTTTTGCAGAGGGTAGCATTTCATGCTAGTGCACAAAGACCATCCAAGTTCTATGCAGCAGGTAACGTCTACATATATGTTCAAGAAGACTATATAGGAATGCATGTCCTGTGTAGGCCTTCTGCCCTATCCCTAACTCCCAAAAAGAGAATTTTAAAATTCTACACTTACTACTTCGCACAAAAAATATTTTTTACATAATCTAACAAGTGATGCCTTCTAAATGCACTTCTGTGCTCCTCCTATCTAAAAAGAAACAACATCATGTGAACTATCTGACCAGAGCTAAATAATCATTGCAATTTGAACAAAATAGTCATAGGAGACTGGTTGCATTTAGACCACGAATGCAGACAAGTTTCATAATGTTGTGTCTACTTTTGGTAACAAACAATTACAATAAAGGAACTGAATCTCAACGATTTCCACAGGTAGATAACACATCGCTGGTATGTAAAGACCAAGCTCAGAACCTACTTTTATTAGGTAATTACTTATAGGTAAATGTGTTTATAGAAGCATTTATACCTTTGGAGCTTAAATGGATTTATCGGACAAATTTCTGTTGTGAATTATTTGCTCAGCTTCAAAGAAAAATGTTTTACAATTGTGGGAACACATTTTTTCTTCTGGTTGTTTTCTCGAGATAGACAGCTATACATTTAGAGAAGGAACTAAAATGAAGTTGAGTCACCAGCACTAAATATTTACTACAACAATTGCATATGAGCATCAGGTTAAATTTACAGTCTGAAATGCAGATCTCGTATCAGTGTGAAATAGAGTAAGACCACAAGGCACTTTGGTGTGAAGGCAGAGAAAGCAACATAGTAATGAAACCAGTAATGAAACACACCCCACCCCCACAACTTTGCCTGCTCAGAATGACTTATTTTCTTATTAAACAAGATATAACAGGAAAAATCTCTTTAGAAAATAATTAATTTCTCTAAAATTTGGTACAATGGGGTCATCCATTACTGATTAAAAAAAAAAGAAGCAAAGAATATATTTGAAAACAACAGATTTTTCCAAAACCTGTGCTATTAGCTACCCTAAGATTTTAAGAGAAAACTAATAGGTCAGTTTCTTAAAAAAAGCTGGAAATTATGTATTTTGTGTATGTATTATGCACAACAAGCTCAAGTTTTGTCGTATGTTTCTGCTTACATATTGTATCACGTGCAAAATCCTACCCTGCCAACTAAATGGCTGTACCTATGTGCTGATACCTGTTTGTTAAATCAAGGGACTGTTGAACAAATCATGTGGAGTGAGTCTGCAGAACGTAGAACTATAAATGAGGAAAGTGATGGGACTGGCAATGACAAACTCAATTTCAGACCAGTAGATCACCACTTGGAATTAACAAAGATCACTAGGAATGAAAATTTCTCTTCAGCTGTGGTACAGCTTAGGTACTCTCAACACAGAGATAAGACAACTGTCATATACAATTAACTTCAACTTATTTTCTCTGATATGACTGAAATCAGAATCAAGTCCCTGAATATAAAGCAATACCACTTACAAAGCTGTACTTACTAGTGTATGTTAAACTAACCATATATGAACACATATGCATGGAGGGAGATCATATAAAGAAAAAAGATACTACTTCACAAAACATATATTTAAATATTCATGTTTTATGAAAATCTAAGACAACAGATACTTGATCCCTTAGGAGTTGTTATTGCAAGTTAATAATCAGGAAGGAAATACATTATTGCTATTTAACTGAGAAAGCTAGATAATCAAAAGAAATTATGTGCAACGGCAGCTGAACTGTTATTTCTATTTTCTGCTAAAGGGAGTTAAATAAGATCAGACTGCTTACTGTCCTCTGCTGTAGTCATTGAAGTCCAGTTGCTATAAGTATTGCCATAACCATTGGAGGCAACCACTCTCATCTCATACTCAGTGTACGGCTGAAGATCTCCGACCCTGTGTTGTAAGGAAGCAGTAGGGCTGGAAAGCAAACTGCAAAGAAAAGCAGCATGAGTTACATCATTAAACATCCCAGCACCTAAAGAAAGACTAAAACATTGTATGTCTTGTAACAACACCAGCCACCCTAAAGGTGAGCCATATTCAAGATAATGGGACTTTTCTTGCTCGGCAGTTGATGGTGGCCTTGCTATGGTCTGCGTACTCTAAAATGTCACCAGCAGAATGCCTCCGCCGCATCTGGAGTCGGTAGCTGGGCGCGCCTGGGGCGTTGTTGCGAACTGGTGTAGACCAGACAACCTGAAGACTGGTTGGAGTGGCAGATGAAAGCCTTGGAGGCATCACGCCATCTGGAGCTGTCGAAAAACATGGATGAATTAGAGCAGAGAAAACCATGGAGAACATATGCCGGGTGGAAACAAAATGCTCCATATACTGGAAAAACTGTTCCTCAGGATCAACAGCAATGTTAACATGGTCCATTTAGTTTAACATTTTCACTGCTGAACAATGCTATTTCTTTATTTTCTTCTTTCCAATACAGTTACATGAATATCACTTTGCTAAAAACAAACCTCCATACACCAGAAATAATTCAGAAGCAACATATTCTCTACCACCTGTTCAAATACTATCTACTTCTCCTTGTGCCCAGCTCTGCCACCCTGAGAAGTTAAAGAAATGCTCACAGAAATGTTACCCACCAAGAATAAAATTGATCAGACTTTTTAAATTTCAGAAACCTTCTCACCCTTACAAATTAATAATAATTTTAGAAGAAAACAGCAGAAATTTTAAGGGAAAAAAGGTCTTTACATAGAAATCAAAATAGATTCACTGAAGTCTCAGTCTCTAGCCCACTGTTTTGTTAAGGAAATTAATTTTTATGAAGTCCAGGAACTGCAGATCAAAATCTGTCAGTAATGATACCACCAATGACCTTTAACTGCTGCAAATTTCACTGCATGCAGTAAAAAGAAATATGCCAATTTGCACCCATGAGTTTATGGTTTTGTTTTTTCTTTAAGAAGAAAACAATCTGTTGTAGAAACTTTCTGTACATAAACACATCTGGAACTTTTATATATAATGCATGTCTGTAGCCGTAGCTCTGTAGCTCTTTTCCAGAGATTTAAAACACTGGAAAGTTACTGCCTTTGTCATTTAAATTTTTGTATAATAGTTTCGCTTTTCATGGTCCAGTAGTTACCATTTGCTTCTTTCTTTGGTCTTTCTAACAGAATTTTTTTGTTGCTGTTATTGTCTTCCTTCTCTCTATTGGAAAAAACAGTCTCACAGATCTGTAACTTAAAGTGTAGTTGTAAGCCTTAGGGCATAAGTTGTAAGATGAGCGAACAGTATTTTACAGTGTTTTATGATTTTCATTTACCACCTGTATATGAGGTGGTTACTAAGAGGAAAGTAACAGACTTTGTGATACACTGTCTGAATCATTCTCTCCCTGAAACAGATGAAATGATGGCATTGGCTCAGAAAAAAAAAGTCATCAGTCATATACTATAGTTTTTATTTATACTGACATATATATACAGAGATATGTGAACTAGCACCTGGCTGTTTTACTCTGATTATACATACTTATGACTGGGGAACTTCAAAATTCTTCAGCTCCAGTTCCAAATTATATTACGTAGAAAGGCACAAGACATGGCTGGCTCCAACCTAGAAATTTGTTCCCTTTCCCTTAAGTTCAAGGTCTACCAGTTCTCAAAAGAAGTTTTTACTTAAAGCTGGCTGCTGGGGTAGCTGAGTCATTACCAGGTATTTTACTTCTGAGAATTGGCCCCTAGCCATGCAACCCTCCTGTTTTTTTCAGGACAAAATCATAGAATCATAGAATCATAGAATCATTGAGGTTGGAAAAGACCTCTAAGATCACCGAGTCCAACCGTCAACCCAACACCACCATGCCCACTAAACCATGAATCAGAAGAGGATCTCCAGCTTCCCTCACTCCCTTCCCCTCCTCTCTGTTACCGTGAAAAAGACACCATAAAATTTTTGGCCTTGAGCCAGCCTCGCTGCCTTTGGATGCTCCCTCCTGCTGCTGTTATCTAGACCTAGGCAATAAGGCTCCAGTAAATCCCAAGTAAACTTGAAATCTTCCTGTTTCCAAATCCAGGAGATGTCTGAGACTAAGGTAATTCATGGTCTGCAAATCCCTTGCCAACACCTTCAAGGCCAATCAAGACCTTGTGAGCCCCTCAACTCAGAGGAAAGAAGATGGCTGACTTAACTTGAACAGCCCCCAACGTCCCTCCAGCTGAGCCATCAAAAACAAACATCTGCACACCAAATGCCTCCGTATGTGAATTAAATTTCACTCGCAGAGTAAAATGGAGAACATATATTTACCTCACTCAACATTGTTCTGTTTAGCAGCAACATAACTAATGTTGGAGTTAAGTTGTGCAATAAGGGGGTTTAAATCTCATGGATGTAAAGTACAGTACTCGCAGATAATCATGAATTATTTTGGCATCCCTTTATAAAGTGATTCCTGAAGTTGTTAGCAGGCAAACTCAGCCAGCATGAGAAAGACGGCACAAAATGTAAAAACTTTTATTAGAGGGTTTTAAAGTGTTTTCACAAGCTGACACTAACAGAAAGACTCAATATCCCTTCAAAGCAGGGTACTACCTCATTTAGATCTGAACTGCCGTAGCTTAAAATGCACCAGTTGTTTAAATGCACACAGAAATTCTACACAGCAGAAAAAGCTACATCTAAAAATTAATCTAATTAGCTGAGCTGTAATTTGGCCAGGAAGCCAAAGTTCACATTGTTATTGAGGAGACAATGTGAGCAACTCACTGAGGAGGCAAAAGCATTAAATTTATTTCCAGTTCTGTCAGGACACATCACTTCACCTTTGTGTTTCATTTCTCAATCTGTTAAATGGAGATAATAACACTTATCCTTCTTTGTAAAGCTCTCCGATTTCTACAAAGTAAAAGCTCCGATTAAGCTTTATGTATGTATAGTGGTGGTTATTATAGCGATACAGGAACGTTCTTCAAAAAACAAAGATGTAGCTGTCTAAATGTCAATAACAATTCACAGTGCGGATGTTATTTTAATGGTGTAGGTAATCTCAGCTAAATGTTCAAATCTCTTCTACCAACAAAAGCACAGCATAGGGAAGAGTAGAAAATTTGGACAAATCTCTTCTGTGAAAGTCGACTGACCTGTAGAACAAGCCTAGCTAACTACTTGCAAACCAACATGTTAGAATATACAGCAAATTTATTTAATCTGAACGACCTCCTGTAGCTTGCAGAGAATGTCCTCAGCTATGCGCTTCCAAAGGAACGGGGCAGGGGGGCAGGAGGGTACAACAAAGAAATCGTCAAGTCTCTGCTAAGTCATAATGAGAAAGGTGCTCTATTAAACTAATCACACTTTGATCATTAAAGCTACAGAGCACTTCCCCAAAAAAATGGTAATTCTAAATTGCACACAAAACATCCTTTGACTATTTCAAACACTCCTCATCACCAAGGTCTGCAGTGTAACATTTCCCTCAGCTTAACCCTTTTTATCCGATCCATATTCCCAAGAGACTCCTTACTACCCAAGTAATAACTGGCAACCAGCAATAATTCTACTGCAAATTTCTCAACAGAAGAGCCATGTATCTATCAGCTTGATATATCGCCTTTAAGATGCGATGTTGCTCAAAAAGTTCCCCTCAAGCTTTAATATGACCCTCAGGGGGCAACCACTCCACTTGCAACCCACTGCATCAACATCTAGCCCAGTAAATCCTCACTTAGCAGGGCAGAAAGTCACGCTTTGTATGAAGAGACTACAAAGGCAGAATAAAATATTTAACCAAGGAATTAATAAACAGACCCGCAAAATAATAAAAACTGGAGACTGTTTCAAGCTGACAATGATATATTGTATTCCAGATACTCAGGTACATGCAGATGAGTCAAGAAAGATCTGATCCCTGCTCGGCCACTAATGTGCTAAGCAGTCTTTGAAAAGTGTTTCGACTTCTTGCCTCAATTTCCTTATCTTAAACAACATATGCAGCAGTAGTCAGCTTTGTAAGTGTTTGTTTATTTTAGGACAGCAAGCATTGTGTTGAATGATTGTGCTGAAATGTTTACTCCATGTTGAAAGCCTATTTTTCTGAGAGGTATTAGTTATATTTATCATAAGGATATATCTGAAACTTAAATTTTCTAAAAGTAGAAGACTTTAAGTAGGATTATTCAAAGTGAACTATCATTAGGACAATAAATTATTGTTTAGTTATAAAAATGTCTGCACTATTAATCTTTAATAAGAGGAAGAGGAAGAAAAGCCAGTAAAGCTTGATTTGATATCTATCAAATTGGTGCAAACTCACACCAACTTTGAAGTGAAGTGACACCACTTTTAACAGTGATCAGATATGTTGGCCCTGCTGTATCCACAATATCTGCAGATAGGCAGCTGGAAGAGTTTAGAGCTATGTAAATGTAACTCTACAATTTGCCACATCTGCATGTGTAAAATATTTAGCACAGATGACACATTTGCATTTTATCGAAATATTTTTCATACACATGTATGCAAATGATAACTGCAGGTATTTAACTACAGAGAAAGAAAATAGGGTCTCCACAGTTTGTGCCATAACAGCAAGGAAAAGTTTCAGTCAGACTGCCTTTAGATGAATGTCTCGCTCAGTCATGCCTACTCTCACTCTTTTCCAGGTTCAATTCACAAACCCCATTTCTTTATCTCATTGCAGTGATTGTTTAGATACTCCTGTTTCATTTTCTATTTTAGGTGCCCATACTGAGATCGTCTCATTACGGCACTTTTTATGGCAATATGTTCTGCACGTTGACATTTGTTTCTTCTGATTTTCCCAGGTATGCCTGTTATCTAGTTGTTTGCTCAGTCCAAATAATTCCCGTCATTGCAGTCTCCATAATTCTCAACATGGCCATGTGTTTTTGTTTCATTTAACTGAAAGACAGGCCATGATGCTGGGCCATATGCCATCACTAAAAGGGCATGCTAGTTATAAACTTTTATCTATTGGCAAAGCAGAAGATTGCTTTTTTTGTTTCTTATCTTCACAGGTCCACTGAAGTTTACTCTGGTTTGGTTTTTAACCCTCTTTTCCCAGTTATCTTTCCTACTCAGCGTACAGCAAATACACACAGTTGGTCTTGATTTTTCATTTAATATATATGTTCAACCATGTTGTTTTCCACCTACTCAATGCCTAAAGAATGCATAGAGTATTCTTGGATTTTCTTTTTAATTTTGTAATTTCACTGATAGAGGTTTTCAGTTACAGATATTACCTCCATCTAATAATACATATACC